TCCGCCCCGAATAAGCCTATTTTGTTTCCTAACAATAGTGGAGACATCCTTCCCTGATTCATTTTTATACCTAAATTTCACATTTCATAACTCCTGTTAGAAGCAACTTGGGCCCAAACTAACTTAGGGTATATCACTCCTAGCTATGCCCTATCTAACTATCATATACCCGACTGAAAAGCTTTTTGACACCTCGGGTGGTTCCCTCGTTAGTGTGATTCATTCTGTCATCAGCGGCTACGTTGTAAAGATCTTTTGGTTCTATAATGATTTTTTTGGATTTTTAGAATATTGACAAAGAGTCACTACTCGAAAACAATACTAAGCAAGTCTCATATCAGAACTTTTCGACTAAAGACATTAAACTCTACATTTTATCAGCAATTATCATTCCAAAGCAAGGCGTACTATTCTATAATACTCATCATTTTTGCTACGATGACCACCCATGCTGACTTTTACATGAGATGGTAGACCAATGTGAGCGGCTCCCACTATCTAATAACAACACCTAAACTGTTCCATTTATTGGGGGGAAAATCATCTAAAAATCATGACTTTCGTCAAAAACTCAATTTTCAAAAAGATCTTTAGGATGAACACAACGTTATACAAAGCTCAAGTTTTTGCTATACTAACGTCTCTACAACTTCTAATTCTAATGGAAATTTCATCTTGTTAGTACTTTTTAGTCACAACATAGAAAGCGTGAAACTGCCATGAATGATTATGTTAGGCGAAAACCTAAACTACTTGTTGTTTGTATTGTGATATTTCACATATAGATGTTGCTCTTGGTGAACATGGGAACTTTTATAAAAAAGATATCCTTTGAAATCTTAGACGAATTTGATTTGTTGTGTGGATTTTTTAGTGATTGATCAATAATTTCAATAATAGTTCAAATCAATCATTGTTCCTTCATCTGTCAGAAATGTTTGTATTCCAGGCATATACGTGTAATAATATTAAATATCCTACTAATATTTCGTCATTATGTAAACAATACGAAATACGACTAAGCAACTTATTCTATATAAATTCTGATCATCCCATTTCATAAGAGGTGCAGATCGTGCTCAATAGATTCCGATTGTGTAGAAGATGAAGTTTCACTAAATCTATATATTTATTTAATATTATGCAAATGAACAAAAAAATTACAGCAAAAAAAAAGTACGCTGAATTGACATTAAAAAAACTTGAAAAAAGAGAAAAGAAATTTGCATTATTCCATTTGGTATATCACTCTGCCCATCTTTTCGTTTCATCATTTTTTTTGTAGTCAGTGTGACGATATGAAAGCCCTAAATGAGATCTTGAACGTTATTATTTCTAGCAAAATGTCAATAAAGAGCACTTTCATATAGAACATACTGAAAGCTGGACAGTATTGCAAGATTTCAATATCGAATGTTGTTTTTTATATGGAACAACCATAATAATCGAAGTCAGAATGAAAAAATACATCAGAAACATTATTGTTAATAGTAAAATATTTTCCATCTAACTTGTAGCCACATGAGACCCGAGGAGAAAAACTCAAGAAGTAACAAACTGCGGAAACATGACTAAAGTTTTGATGAAAAATATCTTACGATGAAAAACTAACGAAGTATTTGGTGTATTATTTCATGCTGATTCCGATTATTATGGTTATTTCAGAGAAAAGCCAACGTTTGATAATTAAAATCTTGCAATACTGTCCAGTTTTTAGTATGTACTATATGAAAGTGATCATTATTGACTTTTTGCTAAAAGTAGTAATGTGCAAGATGTGATTTAGTGCTCTCATATCGTCACATTAACCATCAGAAACAAAAACAATGAAGAGAAAAAAAAATCGGACAGAGGAGTATAGGCGCCAATTCATTTTTACAAACATATTATGATTGCATTTCAATAACATTTAGTTGTATCGTTTTTTTTCTCTTGCGTTGACATGGTTTCCATAATAGTTTTAATGCTGTTCTGTCCTTCAATTGGAAATTTTCAAATTGTTCTTCAATATCTTCCAGTAAAACTCTTCTTGTTTCTGGACAAAAGAAATATACGAAAACTACAGCTAATAAACTCAGGCCACTGAAAAGATAAAAGACTCCATGATATCCTATTGGTGCTATTAACTCCAATATGTAAGACATAACCGTACCCATGAGCCAGTTGCTCCCTGTCGTTATGGAGACAGCTCTAGCTCTAACGTTCAGAGGAAAAATCTCAGATGCATATATCCAAGCGATCGGTCCCCAAGAAAGTGCAAAAAAACCTACAAAAACAGCTGTAGCAACAAGCATTAGTATACCAGAACTCGTTTTACAATTCACAACTTCTACAATTGCTTCAGTTCCATTGATGGAAGTTTTTGCTACATTACAACCTGTAACAAATATTGTGGCTGCTGCAAGATGACCAATTACCATAGCTATGCCACAAAATATGAGAAGCTTTCGACGTCCTAGTCTATCAAACAGGAACAAAGCTGGTATTGTGCATAGTAAGTTTGTGCCAGACAATATCAATAATGATATGATACCCTTTCCAAGAACACTTTCGTAAATAATGCCACCATATGTAAATATAGGATTAATACCCGTTGCCTGTTGTAAAATATGCAAGCCTACACCAACACCAAGTCTTTCGAGCATCTTTTTTTTTGTAAATAATTCTTTCGTTGACATCTGATTACCTTCTTCTTCTATGGCATCAGAAATAGCGTCTAACTCAGCAGTTACATCATCTATTTTACGAATACGCTTTAAACTTTTCTCGGCTAACTCACGACCCTTTTTCTTGTACAGCCATCGAGGAGTTTCAGGACAGAAAAATATGCCAATCATAATCGTAATTGGAGCGATTAAAATAATGCCATTTGATAATCGCCAGCCCCATTTATGATTTTGTAATAAAATATTTACTATATTAGCGACAAACAAACCAATGACTACAGTCATTTGCATGAAGCCAGCGAGCATTCCACGTAGATTCGTTGGAGCTATTTCTGAAGCGTATAAAGGGCAGGAAAATGAAGAACAACCAACACCAGTACCTTCGACAATTCGCCCAATGAGTATTAAAATCATGATCTTTTCGGATCCACCCGGTGGAAAAATAACCATTGAGGTACCAATTAAAAAAAGAATTGCCGATGTGAAAATAATAGCTCGACGTCCATACCTTTCTGCCACGAATGAAGAAATAAACACAGCACCAAACAAACATCCGACATTGTACAATAATGTAAAAAGTACCAAAAATCGTCTATATTCAGTAGGTAAAGCAGGTACTGGCAGGCTGCAAACACTTGTATTACCGTACACACCAATACAAAAATCATTTTTAAATGAACCCATGACAACGATACCGCCTGTAACACCTTGATCATAGCCAAAAAACCATCCACCCAATGAAGTGAATGCCGCCAACAATACAGCAAAATATGTTTTTCCATAATGAACATTTTTATGATCATGATGATGTTGAATTTCGCCAAAGGATACCCTTGGTACTTGGTTTTTATGTTCATCTGTTTTGCTTACGGGCTCCATTGACATTGTTTTTAATCTTTATTTCGATTTCTACAATAAAATAATACATATTTTATTGTGAATGATTGTAACGATAATACTTAAAAGCATTTAATAGTGCTTTCGTTTATAGTGTATACACTTTTCTAGGAAACCAAGACACGTAATACGATGAAAAATAAGATAACGTTGAAGATTTTTAAATATATATATTTTTTGAGACATGCCATTATGAAAACAGAGAAAAGATAAGCTATTAATCCTCAAACACTGTTCGAGGGTGCAGTCGAAGACACATCACAATTTTCATTTTCTGTCGCTTAAAATATTTATCGTTTGCCGACCGATCTCTTTTCTGATCGTTAGTCAATACATCAAAGCAATATCATGTTTTATGAATAGGTCTTACAGGAAAAAATGGAGAGCAGATTCATCTAGATCCCATTATAGCATTAGTGTTATACACATAGGTTTCTGCTCTTTTAAGACTGCTTTCTGTCATCTCGATAGTTTATTTTTCAGCAGATTTATTAGTTTGTCATCGTTAACAATAACGCATGGTTTTCTTTTCATCTTTGTCTTAGAGGTCCTGTCATATTTCCATCGAAATGACTCTCTCAGACTTCTGTCAGTAATGACCATTCTCTTTTGTTGTTCTTTTGAAGTAAATTGACTCTCAAGATTTTTAAACTTGACCAAGCATGAAACTTCTTACATTTGTCTAATTTAAAGATCAAAATTGATTGTTTAACCAGATCTGAAAAGACTCAGGAGGTTTTTATTCCTTGTAACACTGAAGATTTTGACATGAACGTTCTCAGAATGATAAATAAGAATCTGATATTGATTATTGCACTCTCGGAACTGAATCCGATGAGACATCTACTAATGAACAAATTTTGAAACGAGACAATTTTTCGGATTCTACTATGTTGAAGACTATACATCCATCAATATTGAACACTAATGAATAGAAAAAGGTGGTGTTCCGTGGTTAACGAAAACAAAACTACAGATCACGGTTATTTGTGTGTTATCATCATAACAAACATAAGACTATGTTCTGTCATCGCAATTCACTAATTTCGCACTGATATCCTGATATATTCTTAGGCAATATGCCTTTTCACTGTCAGAGCTTTCATATGTCAGGAGTTATACCAACATATTCGTGCTTAAACTTCATGAGGAAAATCTTTGATTCATAAATGTCTACCGTGAATAAAAAAACACTCAAATTCTTCCTATTCATTTAAATATGAGTCCAATTGGATCCACGAAACATTCTTCGTGTTATAAATTCGAAATAGTGTGCATTAAATAAAGTGCTCTTGACACTCGGAAAAAATTGTTTTATCATGTAATCTTAAAAGATGGACACTCGTGCAGAACATTGTCAGGTTTAGTATTTTTCTTCGGAATCTTCTGAAGTTCGGAACAGTACTAGGAAAAGCTTTCTATTTTATTTTCTAAACCATCTGAGAATCTGCATAAGTAAATATGGTTAGTCATCTGCTGTAAGAGTTTTCATTAAGATTCAGTCACAAAATACATATTTTCTATGAACTAGACGAAATCAAATTGGACTCTGGAAAAATAGATATGAACTCTTACTACAACTACGAAACCTTTTGGAGTTCAAATAATCGGACACAACTCTTGGTAACTTGGTGCAATATCTTATCACATGTTTAAAATATTATTTAGAACTTTTCATTGTATGCAGTTCTTGCATTCAAAAAAACACATATTTGCTGATATTCGTCGTGATAAACTGAAGATAAAAGCATATTTCTTCAAGTTTAGAGCTGCTAACTTTATCAAAAAATGATAGAAAAAAAGGGTTGAATGCAAAATATCCCAATTTGACAAAAATAAATGCTTTTGCGCTCATTATTTAGAAGTATACAGTTAAACTCCAAATATATTATCTTCTAAATGAGAAAACATTTCGAGCTAGTATAACTCAGTGGTATATATGCCCAACTTGGGATCGCTAGTTCGCTTATTCAAATATAATATCGGTCATTTAAGGTGATAATGCAGTCCGTTGACCCAGTTAGAATACGTCCATTGAAACAATTGACTGACGGCGTCGTTATTTGAACCTGAGAGGAATCGGGATCTATTTTAAAATTCTTTTTATTTCTTTTGAAGACGCTTCTAAGCGCCTAAATATTTCACTGGAGATGGGTTTTGAAATAAAATCGTCTCTACACATATTTCAAATTATGAACGCGTTCTGACATATTTCTGAAATAAATTGCGTCTAGGCATGAAAGCGTTTCCTCTGAGCTGTGTCTGGTCATTTTCGTTTTCTACATTTCAAACGTTCATTAAACGCGATCGAGACGCTTTTTTTCGCTCGAAATACATTTATACGGCTTTTCGACAATAAGACTGGATGAGTATATCTTTGTCCATTTCACATTCTAGCGTTTTCGTCCAAGGTACCAACAGGTCTCTGAACTAGGGCTGTATAGCTCTACTCTTAGCGCAGTGTAACGCCTACTGGTAAATGTTTCATGAGACTTTCATGAAAAGCAAAGCATAGAAATTTTTATTTCAGAGATCGTCTGGTAGCAACCATGTCTGAAAGTCAAGGCAATGATCTGTTATCATACGCATCATCTCACATATTGATGGTTCGGTAAATGTTCACTCTATGAAGCCTAAATTGTTGGTGCTCATTAGACGTTGCCTAATATCAGAAGAGTAAACTTCTCTTACTAGCTGAGGTTATTCACAAGATTTGCACTGCACCTAATTACCCATGTCTAAGTCAAAAACAGACGTGATACGCATTTTAACGATAGCAAGTTATGTGCAATGTGGTGCTCCCAATCATATTACATGCTTTCTATGATCTTACAAAATATTGTTCACATTTCTCCTATACATCTGAATTTCTGAGTTCCAACTTTTTTCCCGGTCTAATGAATCCACTAGAGTCATAAGAAGTAAAATGTTGGAGACATATGACCTCATGAAGATATAATGTGTGTCGGAGTTAGTGAAGGTATAGTAGACTATGAACCTATGCACGGTAATATGTGTAAGATCACAGATGTATACGAAGTAATGGATATGGAGGAAATAATGAACGTATCATATATATAGGAAATAATTGCACTGTTGGAGGCATGAAGGCGAAACATGTATCTGAATGTTGAAGATGGGTATGTCATTAACTTTCTTGGATCCTTAATCGCCATTATCTCCTATACCTATGATTAATTTTGACATCTCAAAGAAACAATCACGACTACAGGATATGTGAATTTTTAAAAGCAAAATAAATTGATAAAATGGTTTGGCGATACATTTGGGTTTTCTGGAAGCTCATAAAGCCTTTTATATATCCGTTTGGCACGATGCGATGGGTTTTATATCAAGTCATAAAACGCCAAAGCATATTTTCCTAAAGGAATATCACTGGTCGAGCATAGCTGATCATAATCACTTACTCTTTCTGTTGTTGCGATCGCTTCTGATACTTCAGAACTCATCTTGATATCTATCTCTGAATTATTTCTATTAATCCAATAAATTAGATTTATTTCAAGACCTTCTTCATATGCTTTAATCATGAGATCGTCTTTCGGTGATTTTAAGATCTTTCATTCACCAACAGAACGATTTCTTCTTGCTAACATTCGAAGAATAGTGTCACGAGAAATTTAGATGTGTTTTTGTTAAAAACATCCGACAAAACAAGGAACTTTCGTTGTCAGCTGTTGTTGCACTTATAGTTTAGTTCTCGATAGGTAATAAAAAGTGAATATTGATCGAGAAAACATACAAGAATTTACAAGTAAACAATAAATGTTTTTTTCCTATTTATTGCCAAAGAAACTTAGTTTTATCTAGTCTTCAAAAACAATCGTTTACATGCTCACCTGCTTTACCAATATATATCGTGAAGCCTTATGAAATGAATTGCAATAAATTTTATATTAAGAACATCAAAGAAAACATCATATAAGCTGTGCATTTGAGTTAAATGCCACAGTTGGATTAAACACAAAACATTGTTTCGTCTTAAATCAATATGTACTTATGTTTGCATAGGTTAATAATGATATTTACTATTCTTGGATTGACATGTGCAGAGCATAAGCTTCTTGCATTTTGAAAAGGTGAAAAAAGTGAATGACAAACTCAATTTACTATAAAGAGCATCTTATAATCACGTAGTACAAAATATCAGTGACATTTCAGATATTTTGTCTTGATCTAGAAAGCTGAAGTTTTTATGAAATATCTATTGAAATGAGATAGTGAACTTTTCCTAATTTTCAGCTCTCTAGATACAAATAAAGAAAAGATACATAAACAACATCGAATTGTAAGAATTTTCTCAATTTACTATGGCGACATTCTTGCTTCTTGATTAGTGGTATTTACAATTGGTCGATGAGAAAAAAATACCAAGTCAAATTTTTTTACAGAAACAAAGCTACATTATAAATTCGACGTCTATTGCTAGGGATATTTTTTCCATTATTTTTCGACTTTTTTTGCGATTGAGATCGTATATTAAACATGTAACAACAAACTTTTTCTTTTAGTGCACCCTACACGTTTTCGACGATCAACGCATCGGCAGAATTTGCATCTAAACGGGCAGGTTACACGAGTTCATAAAATAATTGTGCTGCTTATGTTTATCACTATTGACGCTCGCTGTTTCTTTTGTCTTGATCATGTTGAAAAACTTGATTCCATTTATATTTCACAAAGGCGTCTTTTAACGTAAACTCTAAGTTTTGCTTTGAAAATTTAGCATATTGTTACATAGTTTAGTAAACTTATGTGTGTATGCGCGTGTGTGTGTACAAGTGGGGATGAGTTCTATAAGTTTCTTCTCTACATACATACCCTTATGAAACTGTTTTTGTCGATTGCAGCTTAAAGACAGAGTAAAAAGATAATGTTAAATCGACTACAACTCGAAAAGTACCATGGTGATCACGGCCGGTTCAAGTCCAATAGTGTACTTATAAAGCATTTTGTAAACTTGAAGGTATGTGTGAGAGTGTTCGGTAGGTGTACATCTTCTGTTTACTAGCATCTACATCCTTTAGCTTAGAAAAATGGCTGATAAATATTCTATTCAGTGAAAACCGAAATGTTACTATCCAAATACATAGGTTAGTCAATAAATTCTCAGACTATCAAATATTTATTCATAGAAAAAACATTTTGCTAATCTTTTTACAGTAAACGCTTGAAGTAGTCCCCATGATGTTCAGTACAAAGTTGCATCGTTCTAATTCACTTCTGAAGTGTCCTTTGACATTCTTAAATCGGTATTGAATTGAACTCCTTGGATGCCGCTTTAGCCAAACTTGTAGGTAGGCGAAGTTATCATCAGATTCGAGTATTTCCAGCCCGGATTCGCCCAGCAACTTGTTCCAAGTACGAATCGACGAGCTTTACCCAATAGTATGCTCAGATTTTCCACAACTCGAACTATAATTTTCAGATTTTGTACAGCATCATCTATGGTCCCAAAAATCATATTTTGTGCTGTGGCAAATCTGAGTACACTGTTGGATAGAGCTCGTCGAGTTCTACTTGGAACACGAATGGAAGATTTGGAACAAGTTGCTGGACGAATCCGGGCTAGAAATACTCGAATCTGGTGATAACTTCATCTAACTTGGTAATGTATAATTTTGAATAATTGGATGATGAACAACACGACTAAATAATTTACCTTGTCGATTTGCAATATATGCACCCAAGAATGGTACACTTGATCTAATTAATTTCTGAAATTGAACAGTAGGAAATTTGTCCCTGATAGTTTGTAGGAAAGCATTAAGATCCTCTGCATTCGAACTATTCCATATGAAAAATATTTGATCTTTATATCTAAAACAATTCAATAAATCTTACTATACATGATTCATATATATAAAAGATAGATTACCTTCCAAAGAGTTCATTATTTTGTCTTAGTTGTTTCAAGATTCTTGTTTGCCATACAGATAGATAAATATTTGATAAAGTATCTGTTAGTGACATCGTATTTGGACTATGTTTCGTACATGTATAGATTTTATCTTTATAGCTGAACACGTTTTTATAAAGAAATATATGTAATAGATTTTGAACAGTCTGAATCGTGATCTGTTCTAGTTTAGATGTGACTAAATTATCTTGTAAGAAATAACCAACAATATCAATACTATTTTTATGTGTATCCGTGGTAGAATAATTAGAAATTTTAATTGTACAGAATAGAGTTGTTAGAAGAAGACAACGTTCTGTATGAACATAATGATTCAATATTTGCATAAAATCAACATCATCACGAAATGTTGTTGATTGTAAAGTTTTATCGACAAGTGGTCGCATTAATTCATTTCAATACTTACAAATTTTACATGTCACATTATATTGTGATGTTATATATGGTACCAATGAAATTTCATTTTCCTATTTTACCAGTAAAGAATAGAATAAAGAAAGGCAGCAATTGATATGTCTTACTTTAGAAACATCTGGTAAGAAATATAAATATGGTACCTTGACTTTAATTATATCAAGTAATAATCGATTAAATAAATCATTATTCACTGCTTTATATTTTTTTCAAATTTTCCAATAATACATTCATTGAATAAATCATTTCTTGGAATTCATTATGCCATCGTTGATTACCATCTTGTTTATCTTTACTAAACAAAAGTTTATAAGCATCGAATTCATTTAAATAATCGTTTGTCTAAGCTTCAAAATCTTGAATATTTCCTAAATAGAAAGTACTCATATTATCAGCAGTTCTTTTTAGAATTAGATTCTTCTTCTTGAATGAACATCGAATTGATTGAATAAGATGCTTTTCATAGACAGTACGTTCATGTAGATTAGATGGCATGGATAATGAAAAAACTGCCCAGTAAATGGATCACTGACTTTTTTGAATTTCCATCGAAAAAGCTATATTAATATGATAGTTTGCAAATAGACTCGTTAATTGATGTTTTAATGGTGCACATCGCTTTTTCAGAATATCATCAATAGGCTGACATGAAGACCCAATCGATATTTGACATGGTAGAACATATGTTGGTTATCGAATTAATAATTACAATTGTTTATCAGTCAATTCATAGGTCTTATCATTAATTAGAAAGAATGAAAATCCAATTCCATTCATTTTTTGATCATTTTCATTTGTATCTGTATGATCCGAATCAGCATAAGAATTACAAAGATAATAATTAATTCTATAGTTATAGATATCTATCCATCGATCAATAAGATTATCGGAACGTTTTTGAATGATATTCGTTAATGTTATTGACATTCCTTGATTTTTAACTTGATTACGATGACTTTTCCACATTGTAGACAATTCATGATCGAATATACTTTGACATTGATAAAACTTTGCTGCGACTTCTGTTATTTTTATAACCATGAACTTGATTCTTTTTCTTTTCATTATTTTTTCATATTTATTGAAAGCTTTCTGTTGGTCATCACCATCGTCATCGTTCAATATTGGCATTGCTATTTCAATTGAATTGAATGATGTACGTAACTTATTATAAAATACACGATATTTCAATTCTAATAATTCACGTTTTGATTTTGCTACGTCATGTTTAGCAAGATCAATCTAAATGATAGACAAAAACATTTCAAGATTTCAAGAGAAAATATGTTTTTCTTACTTGATAATCATTTGGATTCTCATGAAAACATTTTCGTATTTATATTTCTGAAATATAATCATAGTTGAGCAATGCTATTTTTAAATCTCGTTTCATTTTAAGTGGCTTAATGCCATGCTTTTGAGCATAACTTTGAATAGTTTGTTCTATCGTTGATGTAAATCCAATTAATGAATTTTTCTTGTAATCAAGTTGTTTTTGATAATGTTCAATTTGTTGCTTCATGTCTTTTCAGACTAATGATAACCGGTTTTAAACAGTGCTTTATGGTGTATTATGTTCATCGAAAACGACTATTGTAAACCCTGATCGTTTACCACTATTGTGAAAATACGACGACTGTAAACGACTGTCGGACATAGTTGCAATTCACCGTATACGCCATCTGTAAATGGTTGAATGAACGTTCGCCGTTTTCTGTTGTGCTGCACCGTAAATGGTCGTTTACGTTCAGCGTTTTCCAATCAGAATAAGCATTAACATCGAACAGTTCTAATGCTGTTGGCTGTCCATCGACATTATCTATTAACAAAAACCCATTGTCCCAATCCCTAAAAACTTGATCAATAGAACATGTTTGACCTAAAATTGTATTAATTTTTATTCGAATACATGTACTTCTTTAGATTTGCACAGTCTATTTAAACGAAATTCTTATAGCGACCTAGACAATAGGAATAGTGTCCCTGATTATGCCCATTGCTACCCATATAATGCTATTAGCATTTCGGGTAAGGCTCCATAAGCTACATATAGAAGTTGGGCAGCTCGGTAAGAGTTCCAGTCTGTTCAACCATTCAAAACAATGATCTGATTCGATCTATTTGAACAATTCAGCTGGAAAGAGCTTTTCCTACAGTACTTATGATCTGTGCGTTACTGTTGATACAGTACAGCACAGATCATGGACTGATCACCTCGATCATTCATAAGAGACGTGTAACTTTTTCTTTCCAATCTAAGCGGTACCCATAAGTCATCAAGGGCTATTCTTGAGGGTGCATATAATGAATCGTCGAGATTCTGAGCCAATAGATACCCGAGCTACTCAAAAAGATAACTGCAGGAACATATTTCTTTGTTCTTTGGTCAATTTCGGTTCCGGTTGAACTTATTTTTCGATGCCAATCCCGATTATGTTCAGAATCTTTTATTAGTTCTTGTCGTAAATCTGGTTAAAATTTTGTTTAGCTTCTGATCCCGGCTTTTTTTTCTAGAAACAGGCAATTTGTAGTAAAATTAATACAAAAATTTTAGATTTGTGCTCGTACTTCCTAGTAGTCATTAAGTTGGTTTTTGCAATATAGCGAATTACAATAATAACATTCAGGAGCTCATAGTAGAAATAGGAACGCAACGATAAAAAAAATTACAACCAAAAGAATAGCTAAATTCTAATTGAAGTAAATGTATATGTGTTATACGAGTACGCGTATATAAAAATCTGTACAAGCAATCGAAAGTGTCGATTTTCCAAACTAGAATTATGATCAGTAAAAGATTCTAATCGGAAGCGTAAATAAAAATATCTGATTTCCAGATTCTTAGTCACAAAAGGATAATAAGCATGAAAATGCAGAGTGTAGTTTTTAATAGAAAAGCTCACCGTGACCAACCTGAAAAATTCTCTGTCCTGTAGAACTAAAGCCGGAAGTACTCTGTACTTTCCCAAATTCAAACTCTTGTCAACAAAGACAAAACACTTTTAATATCCAATAAAAGCGAATCCTCTCAAACACGTAGAAAGCCCCCTTCCATACTTTATTCAAATTACGGACATGGTGCCCGACAATAAATACACTAGTATTGAGACAGTTCAACGAAAACCCCAGCCATGATATTCCGAAACAAATACAGCGTCTTTCAATAAAAGAAACCGCAAAAATTCTTGTTTCATCAAAAAGTATTTATCGACACAAAGTAAACAATTGCCCTCGAACGTGATTCGTCTCCAGCACAGCATTCTTGTAAGGAGATACAAACGTATTCTCACCAATTGCTGAACGATAAGGGCCTTGAATTCAGTTATATGCGATATAGCTCATCAAAGCTGTAACTTCTAATCCACACATCATTGGAAAAAGGCAACTTCGACAAATATTTCCCTGGAAGCGCACCAAAACTACAAGCCATCGATTAGAGAAAGTATCATCGGGAAGCCAACGAGATTATCAACTACCAAATATATGAAAGCTGCGGCAAGAAACAATTATCCGAGAAGCCATATTTTTGAGAATAATCGACTCAATCCACCAAGCTAACTAAAGAAAAGAATACAACATTCCTTTCAACAAAATGAGAAACTATGGCGACAATACCGGGGAACATATGAAATCCTAAACGACCACAAAGCAAACTCATTACAGACTAACAGAACAAACACCATAAACACCTTCAGCAGTGATAAGGATCACTGCAACGCATCCTTTCAAGCGTTGACAGTACCAACCCTACACACGCTTTCAGCACGTCAAGCGATCACAACTACTAATGTCAGGAAAAGATGTGCATACTTTCACAGAAAGCCAAAGAAGAGCAATGGATAGCATGTATGATAGTCATTAGACACTCACGGGTACGCTTGGAGAATCCTTGAGGAAATGCAGGTACTCCTCTAGGATGGCACTAAAAGAGTTATGGGTACCGCTCTAGGAAAGCACTTGAAGGGTTCCTGGTATCCTACTAAGATAGCCCTCGAAGACTTGTAGATATTCTACTAAAATACCGCTTGAAAAGCAATTGGTTCCACTATCAAAGTCCGTTTGACTGTACAGGACTTGGGATGGGGAGTCTCCTAGGCCTAGTTACATATTAGCGATACACCATCCAAAATGCACCGCTGCTTTGTTGTTTTTTCAATGTAAGTATCTAGAGTTAGTAAGTGAATGTGTTTAAATGAAATGAAAAGTGAGAAGTGCACTTTTAAGAGAGCCTAGCTAGATTTCTTTTTTTATTTTATGAAAATATGCCGATGATATTTACAAAACTTATCCAGAGAATACACAGAAAACTTATCCAAATCTGAAATAAAAATTTCACAATTTTGACTTTTCCTTTTTCTATAAAAATTTAAATATTCTCAATAAATGGTTTTTTGAATTCCAAAGTCAATTTTTTTTAAAAAACCTTTTGTGAAAATATGTCAAACTCATAATTTTGAACTTCCCATTTCAGATTCGGATTCTGCGACTCCGATTTTGCTCATATGCACTATACTCAAGAAAAAATGTCGTCAGTTCTGATTGGCTGAAAAAATGGGTCAATGGGAGAGGGACCAGATGTGGTACTCAAGAGTAGTATATAGATTCAAAATACTGCAATTATGTGATATGTGAAACACGGCGGACGGACCATTCACAACACCGACTGCCTATTCATAGCCGGTCGAACCTCCCCCTATATATATGACTGTCACCGCATGGTTCAATTCATTTCAATATTGACCCAGGTTGGGGTAAGTACACTTTGGGTGTGGACGTGGGCGTGGATGTGGATTTTCTTTTCTTTCCTACCCACATGCACACTCACCCACCACACCACACCCACCAACACCCCACATGGTGTCTGATCCAATAGCAAATCCTATATTGTTGTACAACGTCAGACGCTGTCATTTTAACAACAATATGAGAATGAGTTTTCCATCGGATGTTCTGTTGTATGTCTATAGCGATTTTGCTAATGTCCATTCCTGTAAATATTAGCGGTAATAGATTTACTTAGCGATTTCGCAATAAACTTCGTTGAAACGAGAAGATTCGCCCAAAATGTCTGCAGGTCCAGATATGTTTGACTCATCCTCTCGATACTACTCGAACGAATTTAATGCATGATCCTTTATCAAGGAATTCATCAGTTATATATTTCTGTTTAGCTTCTTTGTTTTCATATGGCGTTAGTTTTTGTTCTTGTTTTGATTTTTCTTTTTATAACTATCTTAGGTATGATAAACCACTTTGAATGCCTGGTTTAAAAATACTGTCCAGTTTTAGATTTAAAACATGATTCAATTTTAATGGTATCGGTGTATTCTGATTCAATGTGGAAAAACCCAAATACCTCACGCCCAATTAGTGGTGTTCGAGCGGAACTTATCAATTGTATTCTAAAAATGTCAACCATAGAATCGCTTGCTTCCAATTTAACAATAGCAAAAAAGTCTTTCTCCACTCATGTGAAAATTTTTGTTGGCCAAAGGTGACATACCAAGTGTTAAATTATTATCACTATGTGATTTCACTTCAAACAAAAATTGCATGCTGATTATCTAAAATATTTAAATATATGACTGTATAACTATAAAGTTTAAAAGATAAACACGTAACAGGTTAAAAATTAAGCAGTAATTTAGGATTTGCTTTTTGTTTCAACTATTCGATGGAAATATAGATTAGGTAGTAACATTTGAAGTATAGTTGAGACTCTTGGATTAATACTAAAAACATAGTAATAAAAATATTTCATTGGATAATAAAATTGCCAACGAACTCCTCGGAAAATGTAAAAGAGAATATGAACTAGGGTGTGGATATCGGGTTGAGGGTCATATCTTCACTATCAACCTCGAACGTGCTCCCACACATTCACGCTCATTTCCAGATCCGATTTTATTAGTTAAATTAAACAAAAAGAATTATCCTGATAACTCTGAAGATCATTGTTTGGGCCTATATCATACAAGCTTTCAGTAACTTGGAGTCACATTAAGTAGGCTAAAATAGTTTCAAGTGGTTCGAAATAGCTTAAAGTATCAATCAAGTAGCCGAAAGTAACTTCAAATTCAAAAGTATACTTTTTTCACCTTGACAATACATCAGACTTTGAAAGTAATAGCTATGTATCCTCATAATCATATCGATCATCATATCAATTGATCATCCCAAATTAATGAAGATGATGATAATTTTGTTAATAATAATTTATCCATAATAAATATTGAACATAATTATTGCAAGAGATCTTTTGATCGAAACAACGAAAAATCCGCTATTGAAAAACAGAAGTTTTTTCGATATAAATCAGTAGGTCTTAATAATATTCATGAATCATTTTGATTTTTCTTGGTTAGCTAAGTGAACTCGAAGGACATAAATGCTTACGTTAGAAATAATTACGCAATCTCAACAAATAAATTCTTTTCATATTTATTTTGAATATTTTTCTGTAAGTTCACCGAACAAAACCTCTTTTAAATATTACTTTACGTGTCTTTTAAAATATTTTTTCATCTCCAATTTCTTCCTCCCAGCCAATCATTTCACCATCATAAACATGTAAATTATCTCAAAAGAGCGCTCAACCACTTATGAAAAAACTAATGTTCTAGATTTTCAGAAAAACGTGTTCGATATAATTTTCCTTGTCAAATACTGAAAATTTTTATTATGCAATTTTTTTCTTAATTCCCAATAGTAAATTAATAAAGGGTTAAAAATAAAATAAAAAACTGTCTTACAATGAAACGGCATTTTAGTATGTGTTTCTATTCCATCAGCAAGTCATTCATTATCTTCTGTCAAAACCATATTGTTTTAACTTGATGAAAATCGATAGAAACGATTAATAAAGCTGTTTCTTTATTCAAGTGTTGTCATTGCACAATCAAGTCACATCATAACTATCTGACCAATCACATATCACACAGTAAATAATATGGCGCCAACTTTCGCATAAAACTCAATTTTTTCAAAAAATAAAAATACTGATGTAAAAATAATTGGTTTTTAGTAATTTACATCGTAATTTTTCTCTCTGACGATCATATTTTACATTTGCCACTTGTGGATGTGGGTCTCTTTACCCACACCCACACCGACACCCCACCCACACCCTCATATGTATCATAAACCTTTCACTGAAACTTTGAGATCTAAATCAATTGAAGCCAAATTAACTAAACTGTGTCATGTGTGCTTTCACTAGATGGATTCGATTCATCTGAATTCTCCTACTGTTCATTCATTTCTATACATTGTTTCAATATTGGATTTAATTCTCAATTATAAAATAAATCTATTTTACTGAACTGAAACTTTGCAAAAACAAAAAGTCAAACAAGAATTAAACATACTTTCAAGAGGACAACCAAATGGATCAAATTCTTGATAAATATGATAGATATGTTAGTGTAGCAGATTTAATTCTAATCGTGATTGATTACCATTTTTAATCATACCATCTATATTGAGTATAAATCTAAACGAAAAAACAACTATGATGGATTTGTTTTTAAATAATATACTTTGAAATAAATTGTTCAACAAGTTTAACAGTTTATGTTCGTTTTTCATTAATAGTCATTGATACTAAATCGAAGTTATTATGTATTTTATTTACTAAAATATCTTGTTGTGCATCATTTTCAATAATAAATCAACATTGACATATTGAATAAACTATTGTTTTAGAAAAAACTCAAATAAAAAAAAAATTCTTGTTTTTTTTTCTCAATATTTAGCTGTTCTTTTTTATACTTGACTAGCACAAGTTCATTCGATAGATCCAAATTAAGTTAAATTTAATAATTGATCAAAATCAAATAAATTTGAATATTTAAAGTGTGATGTCAAGTATTTCTAATGAACTTAATAGAGCATTATGATCATTATGTTCTATACAAAAATAACATATCGTATTGAACATAAGATCATTGATTATTTGTTGAATAGTGACTGGTAAAGAGATGTTGTTCATTTGTATGGATATTGTTCTTTTACTTGTATTTATTGATTGTTGACTATTGCTTGATAATTGGGATTGTTCAAAAGTTTTTCTATAAAAATTTTTAATTAAACCAAGATTAACAATTATTAAACGTCTACTATCATTTTGATTATCATGTTCAAGTAATTGATCTATAAAAATAAAAAGACAATTATAATAAATTCATATTATTATTTCCAAGAAAACTTACCAATTGCATTTGTCATTAGAAAACGTTCTTATAAGCATCGGATAACGAGAAGAACGACGAATAAATACACATTCGTATGACATATTTGCCATATAGGCCATGAGAAGTTCCTAAGAACAATTTTAGTAACTTATTAAATAGTTCAAAAAAATGTATTTCTTATTAGTATAAGGAAAAAAAATAAAAGAATTTGTTTTCAGTCGAGTTCATACAGCATTCATTAAGCTGGTGTTCGATATTCTAATTAGATGAGGAACACTTTTTCAATGCAAAGGAACTCCAGCAAGGGGGAAACGGCGGATTTTGGATTTTCGGATTTTTTTTGGATTTTTGGATTTTTTGGATTTCTTTTGAATTTTCGGATTTTGAAAATCCCAAAATCCACCAGCAATGTCCTCTTGAAAAACGAAGAAATTTCGAGCTGAAATTTTTATCATATGTAGGTCTTGTGGTTCTTAGAATATTCTAAAATTTTCAGCGCAAACGGATGTTTTCTCCTGAAGATAATGCGATCGCAAGAAATACTCATATTTCGCAGCACGGTCAGAAAATCCACTTTTCTTGAAAATTGATTATCTTAAGAAGGAAACATTCATTTACATTGAAACTTTTAGGATATTTTAAGGACCACGAGGCCTACATATGATAAAAATTTGAGCTCGAAATGCCTTCATTTACAAAAGGACATTGTTGGTGGATTTTGGGATTTTTTTCGGATCTTTCATAGATTGGCAATCCCAAAAATCCGCCGTTTCCCACTTGAACACCAGCTTAATGAATGCCCATATTTCTCTTTCTCGTACTGTTTTTTCTCCATTTGGTATGTGCGCTGAGCTCGATGACTCATCGAATCAATAGCAAACCTTCACGGATTAGTGCTTGACATTTTTGAGAGGGGCAGGAAATAAATTTTACCCTATCTTATGGAGAAAAATTTACTCTATCGAACTGTGTTCTTGGTTTTTTTTTTAAAAATGGCAAGTAATGAGACTTAACNATGAGATCAGAAAAAATGATTTTTTCGCAGCGTCGAAAATTGGTCGCACACAATTTTGCTTCTTTTGAAAACAAAAAGTACAAAATTAAAATAAGCTTTACTTTGCACATTGTAGTTCTTTTCACGCTGCATCTCCTGGTATATTTTGTTTTTCTAAAACAACTTATTAAGTGATGCAAAAATGAAATGGAAAAAGGGCGTTTTTTTTTGTCCGAGGGAGATTGGTATATGCGACAATTTCTCCATCCATTCAATCGCAAAAACTACGTAGGTCTGCTACTAAAACGAAAGCAACTGAACTTTCGTCTTTCGTTTGTGAATTTTTTATGCTGTGCAAATCACAGCATTTATGTAGTACTTTGCGAGTTGTTTTTCTTTCTTTCTTCTATCAATATATGCATCGAAAGTTCGTGTTTTCTTTCTTAAAGTCACTTATTAAAAAGAATTTTTCTAGACTTTGTAATTTTTAATCCTCAACATAATTAAAATGAATACGGCAACAAAAATTAGGTACAACTATCTTTGAAATAAGTAATTTTATTAGAAATCAAAGTTGTGACTGTAGCTGATGATATATAACGAATCAGAGTGAGGATCTAATAATGAAACGATAGATTTCATTAAGAACATGTTAATAGTTGTTAAATGAGTTCTCTTAGCAATGAGTTTCTTTTTTACTTTGATAAGTTCCTAGATGAAGGCGTCAATTTTGCAAGCTGTAGCGATAGAAAAAAAAATCATTTTACTGTATGGCAAATATCGTTCGGACAAAAGCGTTTCGTATTCGATTGTATAACCGATTATTTGCTTTTTATGAGATATCGATATTTAATACGGTGTAAAGTAGAGCATTAATGTAGTTCTGTGCGATTTGTCCTCTTTATTCTTTTCTTTCAAAAATGTAGACATCGAAACTTCATGTTTCGAATCGCCATCATTTCGATAACCAAGAATCACAAAATATTCGTAGAAGTATGTGACCAACATATCCAGATCAATTAGATACTATCCGTTTGTCGATCACGAGCGCGACGTTCCATTTTTGTTTTTAGAGCCACTCAAAAAGGTAGATTTTTCTGGAGTTTATAATTTTTAAATTTCAACATCTTTAAAATGAAGACAGCAACAACAGTTAGTCGTGATCCTTTCTAAATAATTTATATGAGATATGACAGTTGGGAATGCAACTGATAAGACGTAATGTATCTAAGTGATAATCAATCAATCAACCGATAGGTTTCATCCGAAACATGTTAATATAATTTAAATCAATTCTCTTAGTAATGAGTTTCAGAATAGCAACCTATTACTTTCTTTCCCACTTTGATGAGCTAATGGATGAAAACGTCAATTTTGCGATTTACAGCGACAGTAAAAGAGCATCATTCCACTAAAAGGTAAATATCGTTTGAACAAAAGCGTTTCATATTCAACCATAAAAGCGATTATTCGTTTTTTATGAGATATGGATATTTAATACGATACAAAGCACAACATTAACATAGTCTTGCCGAGGTTTTTTTTCTTTCTTTAATGCAGTGTGGAACAAAACATTGATGCATTTCTTCACGAGTTTTTTCCTCGCTTTCTTCCTCTATCAAGGTACGCATCGAAAATTCATATTTTCTATCGCAATCATCTTGAGAACTGAAAATCAGAAAGTAATCATAGAAATGTGAGACTCATATATTGATATCGAATCAATGCAATCCCTTTCTTCAGATCAAACAGTAGGTTTAATTTTTCTTTGACAAAGCTACTCAGAGAGGCATTTTTCTAGATTTTGTAGTTTTTCGAGCTTTCACATAATTAAAAGTAGCACAACAAGAAAACTTAATCGCTACTCTCCTTTAATGAATGATTTTATTAGAAATGGCATTTGGGAATACAGCTGATGATAGAAAATGAATCGCTATAATGATCAAATGATCGTTCGATAGATTTCAAGAGAAACATCCTAATATTTGTTAAGTTAGTTCTCTTAATGATATATAGTAACAGAAAGAAATATCACTCCACTAAAAGGTAAACATCGTTTGCCGAAAAGCGTTGTGTTTTAAATTGTATATACGATTATTCGTTTTTTTCATGAGATATCGATATTTAATACTATGCCAAGTACAATATTAACACATACCTGCCGAATTTCTTTGTTTATTTATTTAATGCACTGTGAAGCATAGAATTCATGTAGTCCTTTCATGAATGTTTTCTTTATATTTTTCTTCTATCAGTGTATACATCGAGAGTTAGTATTTTCTGTTTCAATTATCTCGAGAATTAAAAATCGGAAAATGATCTTAGAAATGTGAGATCAACATATTTAGGTCAAATCGATATCATCCGTTTGTTGATCATGAGCAAGATGTTCCATTTTTTCCTTCTTAGAGCTACTTAAAAAGCAAATTTTTGCTGGACTTTGTTGTTCTTAAACTTCTGCATTATTGGAGCAACGAAGGCAGCAAAATTTAGTCATGCCTCTTTTTGGATAAGTGATTTCAGATATAACAGCTGTGAATGCAGCTGATGATCGATAATGAATCATAGTGAGAATCAAGCAATCAATGAATAATATTTATTTGATATATGTTGATACTTGTGGACAACGTTCTCTTAGTCATGAAATTCTAGACAGTTATTTTTTTTAGTTTTACTTCGACATTGGTCAGCTGATTTATGAAGATGAGGTTCTTGTCATTTATAGCGACAGGAAAAAAAACACATATTTTAGTGAAATCTACATATCTTTTGGAGAAAAGTGTTGCGTGATCAGTGGTAGAAAAAAATTATTCATTTTTTTTTCTTCGATATATGTTTTTTTAAACAATCGGTGTTTGGAGCTTTGCATTGTGTTACACGGTCGGGTAAAACTCGAATGATGTGTAGTTTTCAACTTAAAGATATCATGTTAATTTCCTTTCAAAATGGTAGATTCACTTGGCTATGTAAATCATCACACTGGCTCGGAAAATTCTAATCAAGCATATTTCACAGAGTAAAAGATTCGTAGGCATTAAATTTGGCGTAATTGTTAAGGTAGACTTTCGTTGGAAAGTGAAGAAATGTTGTGACTCAATTACCATAGGATCTGCAGATTCCGCGTGATACTTTCCTGAATTTTAATGCTTGGAGAATAATTTCCACAGCATATTTCTCATAAAGAATCGGGAGATTATTAAACTAATACACCGAAAATTCATCCTGGTTTTCAAATTCGGTGAGATAATGCTGAACGATAACAGTTACTTGAAAAGTTTCACTTCGATAAGGAATAAATATATTCAATAACTGACTAGTGTGTATTCAATTTTAGCGTACTTTTCAGTTGCTTTTTGGAAGTTTTGATCAAACATCATAGGTCTTTTTCAATCCAACACATTAATGTTGTACTCGTGCAGCTTCCGATCTTTATTGTTTATTCTAATATTCGACCAATTCAATGTACAATACACGAGAACAACTTGGCTATCGTCAAACTTTTCAAGCATACAATTATTAGGCCTCTTTCAAGACGCATCAGAAACGCCTAAATCTGCTGAATTTTCTACTCATTGTCGTGCAATGTTTAAAGCAGCAGTACTTCTTTCTCATCAATACAATATAACAATCGAAGGACAATTCATTGGATGGCAAGCTATGGAAACTAGTGGCGATGTGATCGACTCCATTAGCAGTACCTGTCTAGCAGTGTCAAGTGCAAAGATCATCGGCATTATTGGCCCAGCATACTCAAGAGAAGCTCATATTATTGCTCCTTTTGCCAATAGAATCGGTATTCCAGCGATATCCTATGCTGCAACTGATCCTGATTTAAGCGATCGAATTACATATCCTGCATTTTATCGTACGGTTCCTTCAGATTACACAGCTGCATTATCGATTGCGCAACTGTTCATAAAGTTTAATTGGACGTCATGTATCATTATCCATCAAAATGATGCTTTTGGATTTGGTGGTGTCAAAGCAATAAGACAGACGTTTTATAACAATGGTTTGCAAGTGAGTCAGACAATCACATTTGATATTGCCAAACTGGACATTCAAGGTAATTTAAAAGAATGCCTAATTAGTAGTTCAGTACGAATAGTAATATTGTGGGCTCAATCAATTTATGCGTCTTTGGTTCTACAATCTGCACTTGATGTCGATGTACTCGGTCCACACTTCACATGGATATTAAGTTCAAGTGTTCCGGTGAACTTATTCAATCGAACATTTTATGAAAAACTAATTGGAATGCTTACAATCGAACCTACAACAGGAGATTTCTTGAGTAAATCCATAAATAGAACATTGTTAAATGCAGCATATCATATATGGGAGCAATATGAACCTATGTCATTTCCTGGATCAACAAAAGTTAATAACTACGCACTATTTACATTTGATGCGACTTGGTCATTAATTCAGTCATTGCAACAACTTTGTTCAACAAATGTAAATAATGATTCTTCGTGTATATCATTTATCAATTCTTCATTTTGTTTTGGTAGCCGTTTTCTCAATTCCAAATCTTTTTTCAATAAAATTATCGACACTAAATTTCTTGGTGTATCTGGTCCAATTCAGTTTAGTACTAATGTAACAAATCGAATAAGTGGTACGTATTATTTAGCACAAAACGTTCAACCTTTTTCAAACGCTGTAGATTATGTGCCAGTATTGGAATGGTCTGATTCTGATAACTGGAGAGAATTGCAGCGATCGAATGCCATTGTTTGGCCGGGTAATTCTTTATTACCTCCTAGTGGTCGTGCAAGACTTTCAAATGTAAGCTTACGCATTGGCGTTACTGAATCGATTCCATTTACAATCATCTCAAAAACCATAGATGAATATGGACAAAGCAAAACAAATTTAGTTGGCTATGTACCTGATCTGATTAATCTTTTACAGACTACCATGGGATTTATTCCTCATATTATATTAGCACCTCCAAATCAAACCTATTCTGGATTGGTCGATGCAGTAGCAAACGGCGTTTACGATATAGCTGTAGCTGACGTTACAATTACTGCTGCTCGAAGACAAAAAGCAGGATTTTCGAATTCCATATTTGATAATTCTTTACGCATTATTATGCGGAAAAAAATGATAAATAATGTAGATCTCATCGCATATCTGGGCCCATTCTCATTTAGCCTTTGGATGATGCTCCTAATCACTAGTATCGTTGCTGCTTTCTTAATATGTCTACTTGAGAAACGAGAAAACCAAGTACTACAAAATAGGTCATTTGTTTCTGCTATTACAATGAGTTGGTGGTATTCTGTCGGCACAATTATGGGATATGGTGCAGATTTTCAAGTTAGAACAGCTGCTGGACGTCTGTTGACTGTCGGATTATATCTTCTGAGTTTAGTATTAGTAGCAAGTTATACTGCCAATTTAGCATCTGACTTAACAATATCAAAGTCAAAAGATGTCATTTCTGGGATTGATGATATAAAACACGGCAGAATTCCATTCAATCGTATTGGTATTCGTGTAGGCACAGCTGGTGAAGAGTATTACTTGCGGGAAATTTCTGGAGGTAATAAAAACTTTTATCCATTGAAGTCTCGGCAGCATATGTATGATTGTCTACTTAATGATTTGATTGATGCATCTTTTATGGATAGTGGTACTGCACAATATGTAACAAATAATATATATTGTAATCTAACTTTAGTAGGTGCAGATTTCGATGAGAGTTCATTAGGTATTGTTACTCCTAAGCACTGGTTATATGAACAAGATTTAGATGTTAACATATTATCATTAAGAGAGTCAGGCATTCTTGATGATTTAAAAAGAAAATGGTTTCAAATAAGTAGCTGTTCTGGTACATCCGATTTGCCGACTGGTATGGCTATGGAAACAATGAGTGGCTTATTTCTTACATTTGCAGTGATTATTGTTTTGTCACTGCTATTATTCTTATGGACAAAACGTTTTACAATGACAGACTACTTGTTCAAATTAGTACGCTGCAATTGTCTGTTATTCAGAAAAAGTACCTCTATAGTCAGATGCACATCAGAGACTTCTGAGCGTTCACAGCGCTTCCAGCTGGCTTCATCCAAGTGCACATCTTTTTAAGTGTAAAACTATATTTATTTCAAAATTCAATAAAAATTGTCACTAAGAATATTAAATGTACAACTAGCAAATATTACTTGGAGATTATTACATGTATAGATATAGAAAACCGCCAAGCACATCTTCAAATGATTTTTCAATCCAGATACAATTCATTTTACTTATCTTCTATGCAATTTGTTTATTTTGCATAACCAAAGGAACATGAAAAACGTTGGCACTTTATTTAAACGCTTGATAGACAAAGTTAAGACGTTGCTATGCATTGATGCTCTCAACCGTAGCAATAGTAAAAAAAAGCTTGGATATATAATTTTATTATTGTAAAAAGAGAAGCATAGGTGAAAAAGCACAAATGACATTTTAAGTTGTTTAGCACATTTTTTACTGACTATGAAGCGAAATTTAAACAAAATCTCAATAAATACTTCAAAAGAAATATGGAAAAATGTACTCTGTTCTTTTATTGTCTGTTTAGATTATTCGAAGATTTTCCAATAATTTTTTTTGTGATGTATGTAAATATTGATTGCACGTTGTTCTACAATAGTGCAGATTTGGTATTGCTTCAAGTCATTCTTTTTGAACAAATATGTTGGAATAGATTAATAAAAATACCTTCGGCACATTTCTTTCGTGATTACAATGTGAATCATGATAGAATCGTTTCACATGGAAATAAAGTTACTTGCTATGTTTGTTATAATTGACTTCAAATTAATGAGGAGTCAATGCATTGTTTCTGATTGCGTAAGAGTTATCGTCTCCAAAACAGCGTAGGGACGCTTGGGAAATATAGAGATATGATTTACTACTAAATTAGCTTGTGAGGGTTTCCTACGTCCAAAATTGATGATCTCCTAGATATTACGATTAAAAGTGTCTATTGTTGCAAGTAGAGGTGGCACTTTAGCTTTAAAAACACTTTAAGAAAGTGTTAAAGTGTTTTACTTTAACTTGAACTTTTAAAGTAAAGTTAAACTGCCACACCTAATCTCATCTACATCACATCCTTCGTATTTAAATCGTGTTGCTTTCGAGAGAGCCAATCGTCATATTAATTGAAGGTTATTGATCACAGTACTATGTTATAACTTCTAACTTCACAAAATTTTCAGAAACAATATGATCTTGATGGAATAATTCAATTCTTTCTAATTAGCCATACATTGACAGTTTTCATGTCAGTCATCAATTAATTTATGTCATACACCCAATATGCTTATATCGCAACTTTATTTGAATCGATCATTCTCTAGTGAAAAATTTACCATCTAGTTGTAATCGTTCTCGATCTATTCAAAAAAAAATGCAAAGAATAATAGCCTTTATTAGAAGGGTCTGTAATAAAATATTTAGTTTCTAGTGGAATATGTTCGCAGTAAATTTATGCACGATGACACTCAAATTCTTTGCAACGAATGAGTTTAACTATGAATGTGACACGTTCAAAGAATAATTTGGAGAACACATGCTCTGTTATACATTTTGGATTGTGCGTTCGAATTACAATTCGATTTTCGCGAGAATTTCGATGGAATTTGAATTTTCGAAGTTGCTATTGATGCTTCTTGCGCTTGGGATTCCGTATATAAAGAAAATATAGCTGTTAAAGATGCTTGAATCTGTTGTTTTGATTGTTCTCGCATCGAACTTGTCCTCATCTCAGATAATCTTGCTAATTCATTTGCATTGTGTTTCATACGCTGCGCAAATTCTAAATATGATTTCAAACTTTCTTCTGTTACATATTTATAGTTGTTCATAAAATATTTTCCAATTTCTTTTCGTCGTTTCATCATGTTGTTTGAATCGATCATCTTCTGCCGTTGTCTTATTTCTTCTTCAGTCGACATTCCCCAAGACCTGTAGTGCATGGCCCGATATAACTTAGCTATGGAATTGTCTACGGAACAAAAAACTGACCCTCCACCATGCCAGTAATACAATTGGAGTGAAGGTCCAGAATATCCACCATACCATAAGTTTCTTGTGGGACAATTCGTTGACCACAGTGAAGAATGTTTTGTATAGGAACGAAGAGATAGATTTGTTTTTTGTAAAACTTCATTCAACATTGGAAATGATGCATCATTAATATCGCCAGAAACAGTAAATGGTGCAATGTTTTGCTTGGTTTTTAGATTTGAAGCTTGTTTTAACCAGCGCCTATATGATAATATTCCAGTGTCTAAGTATATCTGCTGTTCGATTTCATTTTGTCTTTGTTCATATTCTGAATTATCTAAATATGGTACAAATTCGGAAGCGTAAAATAAACTAAGAGAATAATATCTTTTAAAACCTTACATGTACTTGAAGAATATTGTTCATGTTGATTGTTTTCTGCATCTTGTTTGTACTGATTCTCCGCTTCACGTATAATATCTTCTACTTTTTCAATAGCAATTTTCTTTTCATCTTCAACGAGTTCCGCTTTGTGCAAACCGATCAAATGTTCTACGTTCATTTGATAAATTAATTTTCGTTGTTCAATAGTTAATGGAGTATGCAATTTTGTAACTTTTCCACCATGTAAAGTTACTTGGTTTTGTGCCGTAGTAGTTGTCCTATCGGATGCTTGTTGGCTTACAGAAATGTCACCGGGGCTTGTATATTGTAACTACAAGACAATTAGCCTGATAGATATGTAAGTGATATATTTAGAAAATTTACTACTGGGTTCGTAAAATAAGATCGAAAGACATTTTTTCAGCATATATATTTCGAAAAGTCCAAAACTCTTCTCGTTATAAACAGGCAAAAACGGTTTTTTTACGAAATTCTACAATTTCACAATAATTTGAAATCATTGAAATAGTAGTGTCTAATAATTTGAACTAAAAGATAAGTAAATGATGGTATCGACATCTACACAGACAACGAAAAGTGCACTGGTTTCTGCAACAACATATCGGTTACTCTGATTTGGCTTTATTGCTGTGATGACTTGATATCACGTTCTGATGTTAATGGACGATAGTCGACCATTTTGTCAGAACACTCACGATGCTCGATTCTTTACAAAACTATAATGTCCATTGCGGAATGATTCAAAACTATTCAATATAAAGTCCAGAACTATTATTATTTGACTTCAACTGAAGAATTTTATCTGTACTATCTTGAATGATTTACTATGTTTACAGATGAAACGAGACTCCCATGAAGAAACTAGTTTAGAGCCAATTAAAAGGAAAAACAAACTCAACTATTTTCATGTCAAAATGTAGCTAAGAAGAGCCTTAACCAAACAGAGTTATTAATAAAATAACAGAACTTACATGATTTCTTCGATGTCTATGGATTCTACGAACGCAAAAATCTTGAGAAGTTTTTGTTTTGTCTTAAGAAGCTCTAGCTATGCTGTCCAATGTGGTAGATAAATGATATAATATGATATATGACACATGTAGACGATAGCATCACAATAGAAAACGATTGGTAGTATACAAGCGACAAAGTTTTATTATGATGATAGATTATCCTTGTATATTGTCAATTGGGACAGTTTGCGTTCCTCATAATTTATTTCATGTATTATATTCTCTCTGCTAACCATTGAACGCTAATCTTATTTGTATTCCATTATATTCTTCTTTATCATCTCATTGCTGTTTGTCTCGAATCATACATACGAAAAGTTCTCCCTCTGAATTTCTCTGTGGCGACTACTAAACCAGGGTGTACTACATACAAGAAAAAAGTAAAACTAGATATGTGAAACAAACTGATAAACATCGTGTCAAAGATAACAGTGCCTTTAATTTTCTAGATGTTATTTAACCAAACAGTTACGAAACCTGTTCAGCAAACGTACATTATAACGACGTCAAAATTCATATGGAATAATGCAAACAGCAGGTTTTACTATATTTGCAGATGAACTCATAATTGCAGGGACATAAATTCATCATGAAAGATGAAATATTGGCTTGTTAATAAGGATGAAAAAATCAATCGACTAGTAGTGACGATGAAGAAAATTAATACCTACTGAGTTTCACCGAAATTATGTTCAAAGATTTTACTTTACGTATAGACATTTTCTATATGGTTAACTTCTCAATCAAACGATGGCTACACTAATAGCCGATAGTTCATGGATATTTATCTATATTTGGCACAAGCGTTTCCCATAGATTACAATCAAATGCTAAAAAGATTCAGATTAATATGTCGTTCTTTTTTGTAATAATAACTTTAATTTTAATCTTTCAATTAGTGGCTAACGATAATCATGAAAAATTGAATGACAGAAATGTTAATTATAACTATTTTTACTGATTTCTAGAAGTACAAAGTTTTCAAGACGGCTCCATTTGTGAAGCAGATAAAAACGACAAAAATAATTCATATTGATCTTTGAAAAGTTATCCAAAAATATTTACAGAACGTAATGTTCCTCAACATGGTATTACAACGCATAATACTCACTATTTCTAACAGTAACTTGTCAAATACTAGATCAAAATGATTTTCAGATCCGAACATTGGAAAATAGAAATTGTTCACAATTAGTTGTTGTAGCCAATCAACTGGAGTGCAATTTTGAATTTTGATAGGAATAATTTGTTTTCTAAGTTGACTAGCATACTTTGCTTCTATTTCACAATGTTCATCCTCAAAATAATGTTCACTGATACAAAGAATAATGCAATTGGATTTCTTCATTTGAGACAATGTATCACTGTGATCGTTTACTCCATTGGAGCAAAGCCACAAGGAAAATCCTTCGTCTATGAGACGATTTGCTAAATGATGACATGCAACTGAATCTTCTTGGCAATAACTTAGCATGACATTGTAACATGTGGAAGATTCAGCTGTTGACATAAGAGCCGAGGTTGGACATGGAAGAGTAGACATCGACCATGATCTTTCAAGTAATGATTGTTGTAAGCGTATTTTTTCTTGAATTAGTGCAACTGTCAGTTTATATTTTTGTTTCGCTTCTTGTATACTAGAGATTGGACCTTTAAGTATGATTCGTTGATCATTGCCAACTTGCGGTAAAATGCATCTATCACTACAATATTTATAATAGGCATTGATCAAATACTGATGCCAATCATTGAACCCATCTAGTTCTATTTCAGCCATACAGCGTTTCATACAATTGCTTATTCTTTCTTGACACTTTATTAAATATTCTTGTTTGGATGACGTCAGTGTAATTGTAATAGCTAAAACAAATGATAAAAAAGTACTTTTAATATGATCAACTAACGATTCACTTTCAAACTCTTTCATGTATATGTATTCACAGAATTCTTCAAGAAAATGACTTGAGATCATTATCATTCTGTATGATGAATGAAATGGGTATTTGATTAAAAATATTGTATATATGGAACAGAAGAGATTTTTGTTCATTTGATAGATTCTATAAAAAACTGTCACAAGAATCCAAAATTCAGATGGTATTCAATGTTTTTGAATCAAAGCACATATCCATCGATACCATCACATATTCTTAAACGTTTATGCTCAACTTTTATCAATCTGTAATAAGGTTGAATTTTTCTACCACGAGTAAAAGTTACTCCTCTCCATTTTCTTTCCTAGACACAGACCACGAAAGTGGCATCCCTAGATTGTAATATATTTGCTAGTAGTTTTCTACGCTCTATAAAATTTAACAAAACTGTTAAAAATGCTATAACACAATGTTCTTTGAATGTTAAATATTTTAGAAGCAGTATCCTCTCATTCATATCAATCTCCCTACATATGCTAGATATCAACTACAGTTGACTCAAGTCAATTTCGAACAACATGTTCTTCTCTAACAATATCGCTATTTCAGAAGTACGAAATCGTCTCAGATACACTTTTAGCGACGAATCCTTGAAAAAGTTTTATTTTATGCTTGCTTGGCACATGACCAAGTCATAAAATATTGTGATGCAGTCAACAATTCTAGAATTTGCACTATGATTGAGATTTTTAATATAAGAAGATTAAAACTGTAAACATTCATCTAATGAAGCTACTGTTTACGATGAGTATGCCGAGTGGAAAGTCAAAAGGCAGTTTAACACTGTCTTACTTGATGTTGGATAAAAAAGAGTTCCATAACTATTATCAATTGTTTTCATCGTTGAAATTACTGCTAAAAATTCTTGATGTAACGTTTGTTGGTCAGGTAGGAGCATGAATGAGACTTTCAAATATGCTAATTTCGTGGATTGAATTTGACGTTGTGTCTCATAGATCATTTCCTCTGCTATGGTTTTTTCGTTGCTGCATGAATCAGGAACTGCAAATGCAATTGATTGAGTTTCCATATTCGAACTTTTATCTCCCGTGACAATATATTGAATAACTTTCGAAATGAATTTTCTTACAGACTCACGTAAGCTTTTCTCATTGGTAGTGACCGCCATTGCTGATAATGACCAGTTTACGAATAGAATCTTTTTACAGCACAATTTACCAGCTGTTGTTTCAGTGATGAATGAAATTGAATTCTTGCCACTATTTTCCGAAGGTTGTTGCACAATTTCACCAGCTCGTTCAATGAGACTTTCCTTTAATCCGTATGATATGGACGGAATAACAATTGTGTCGACCTACAATATACATATCAAGAAGCATGTGTAACTATGTGTATAGATTAGTTTTTTTAGGAGTTTCCCAAATCTTTTTCGAATTTACTGATGAGAAATAGCGAAAAGTGATAGATTCATTGCATAGATGTCAGATGGTTGTCTAACCTTTTGTGCAGCTATATCGCCGATAAGAACTTCAAAAGATCCATTAGCTAATGTTGCTTGGCGATGGACCATGGGTGACGAACAAAATAACTTGGATTGTTCAATTATTACTTTTGAAACAGAGTAATCCGTCGATGCAGTTTCGCTTGCTCTTGGTATTGTACATGCTTTTAGTGTTGTCTCGATTTTAAAATCATAATTACAATGATTATTTTGAGCAATTGTTTTAAAAATTATGCTGGCTCGATTTGCAATATCGTAATAGAGTTCAGTTGTTTTGAATGTGGACGTTGTTATGTGCGATAATAAAGTATTAATACGAGATTCAATTATATCTTTCAATTGTGGTGGTGCATAAAATGCGCATTGTCGAATATTGAGGTGTACACGATCGTTTCGAAATTCTTTCTCCATCGCCTTCAATTCTGGCCGACAGGCATTTATAAGATAATCAATCTGAATACAAAACAAAATATAAATTCAAAAATGTTTTCGTTTATTAAAAAATTAGACAGACTATTGTTTTCATCTACGATGAGCTCTATCGTAAAGAAAAATAATGCTTTCATATGCATGAACTTGTTTTCTTCGTACTTCAATCCTGACATATATTTTATGGATGTAGAATGATTCTTACTTTCGCTCTTTCATCTCCTTGATGAAATAAATATAGGCGAGTGTATAAATGTCGGGATGCAATATTTATTAGCATGTTATCACATTCATCATAATCGATGACCTCTAATCACTGTTCCACTTATATGTTGCGAATGTTCGTAGACGTTTCTTAATTTTTAATAGAATTCATGTGGTTTTCCATACTCTTTAATTGTTATCGCTCTAACTATTTTAGATCGAAGAAATTCTTATTGCTGTGCCATATTTCTCAATATGTATCAGGCAATGCTTTAAGCTGATGTATTGCAAATAATATACATTCTGCTTCTTGTCATTAGGCTTCAAAGTCGCATGACTTGAAAATTTGAATTATCACAAGTAACAAGATGATCATTTCATCTACATCCAAATAATCGATTGACTTATGACTAGCATGAATGTTTTTTTGTTTTTCAAAAAACTCCAGAATGATAACTAATTCCTCATGCCAAAGATTACTCACTCGTGCTCAACGTATAGAAATCGATAAAAATTCTTCCCAGGAGTAGTCTACACACGACTATCTTCACCTTTCTCTTCTCCACTTAGCTGCTCGCCTGATATTTCAGCATGTCAACTATGATCGAAACAATTCGTACTGTGAAATCAGTGATTGTCAATTTTTATCGGATGTACGTTAAAATGACATATTTAAACTTAATACTTAGACTATATAGACAGCGAGTAATTAATAGAAACCAAGCGAGCTCTTTTTGATATACTGGCTTGCAAAGATATCTCTCTCTAGATGTCGGAGCTACTTCAGTCCCAGTATTTTAGTTCAGAATTTTTTAGACTTATTGATAGTGTTTGTACAAAACTTAATTGAGGATGTTCATACCTCGCTGTTAATTATGTGTTGCATCATATAGAATATTTCTGAATATTTTGAATATATGTTGCATGAATGTTCGTAACAATGTACACATTTTTCGGAATTCATTTCTAACAGATCGTTTATTTTTTTACAGTTCATATTCGAAAATTGTATTTCTATTATAATATATGTGCAGACTCTCAGCCAAAAAATTAAAAGCTGAGTTTTTCGAGAACACAATCAAATTAATATGGGAAACAACATGGAAGTTCAAAAAGTCAGACAATTAAATATCACTTAGTCATCTACTTGCAAATGAAATCACCTCAACACAAGTAAGTCTCATCTCTGTTGACATTNCAAGCGAGCTCTTTTTGATATACTGGCTTGCAAAGATATCTCTCTCTAGATGTCGAAGCTACTTCAGTCTCAGTATTTTAGTTCAGAATTGTTTAGACTTATTGATAGTGTTTGTACAAAACTTAATTGAGGATGTTCATACCTCGCTGTTAATTATGTGTTGCATCATATAGAATATTTCTGAATATTTTGAATATATTGCATGAATGTTCGTAACAATGTACACATTTTTCGGAATTCATTTCTAACAGATCGTTTATTTTTTACAGTTCATATTCGAAAAATTGTATTTCTATTGTAATATATGTGCAGACTCTCAGCCAAAAAATTAAAAGCTGAGTTTGTCGAGAACACAATCAAATTAATATGGGAAACAACATGGAAGTTCAAAAGTCAGACAATTAAATATCACTTAGTCATCTACTTGCAAATGAAATATCAACTAAAAACTGTGTTACGCATTAAGATTCTTTTCACTCTCTGATATTGTAATTACTGTCAATAGAGATGAGACTTACTTGTGTTGAGGTGATTTCATTTAACTGATATTTTGTTAAACGATATATATTCGTTAAATCTTGAATTTGTTGTACCACATCATTGACCAGTTTGAAATAGCCAAAAATTTTGATGTGTTGCTGCTTTTTGTGTGTCATTATGGTAGCAATTTTGCGACACGTAACAGAAACCATACCATTTTCTTCATCGTAATGCTTCACCGCTTCCATTAATTCTTCTTGAAATTGTAATGCTAGATTTTTTTGATGTTTCGATAATGTACTTGCGCTGTTGTCTTTACTTTGTTTATTGCCGTGTTTCGATGTTTGCGGTTTTTTGGGAACTCTTGATTGTTTATTATCATTCAATTGTAATACGAATACAATTCGTACAATGTTATTTTGAATTATCTGATCAATACCAACGGTATTTGCAAAATGATTGAATTTTTCGTCATTGAAAAAGAAAATTTCTAACACTTTACTATGTTTATCATTTGCTCGACACACAGTAAAAAGATCATTTTCATTGTCCATTATTGCTTGTATGATATCAACTGCCCTTGGATTATGTAACCATATTTTAACTAAACATTTTTTTAACTGATATTTTTGAAATCTCTGATAAGATATAGAATGAACGTTTGAATTACGGATATAAAACGTTTTCTCCTCAGAATAGAAACTTGTTGTTTCAGTTTACATGTCAGTGATAATCTCATAGACCTTTAAAAACTTCTCTACCGTCTAAATACTATTTCTTTTTCCATTCAAATAATTGATGAAAAAACTCATAAGGAAAAGGTTTCATTTGAAGTTTCGACTTGACTTTATCGTGTAACTTTTGACGTATAATGATATACTATATTAGTTGCTTCATCCATACGGTACTTTGGAACGGAACTATAAACTTTTCTTGAATAAGCATACTCTTTCTGAGAGTCGTCTACTTTTAGTTAAACAGTATCTTAAGATCAATCATAATTTTCACTCATGGTTAGCAGCTACACTATTGATAATTTTGTAAATATTTGAGCTCTATTACCTAATAGCTGTTATACATTTCAGCAACTTGAACAATTTCTTGAAAAATATTTCATGATTGCGTTTATGATTGCTTCATGATAGAATATTTGTTAGGGAGGATACTTTGGCTATCAGAAGAGACGGTGACGATATAAATACAGTAGAGTTTTGAGTTCGTTTCAACATTCCTAGTTATAGATAGACAACTCTCATTATTAATATGTAGTATATGATTGTTCGCAAATCTATGTTCGTTATGCATATGATATTCAACGAAACAATGATCAATGCAGATGAGTTTTGCTGTAATGAGCGCAATTAAAAATGAGAACAAGTCAGAACTTGAAATACTATAATGTGATGGATTGTACATCCAACAAACACCGGCTACTGTTCGAAACTGACCTCGATGGTTGCTGATGCAACTTTTTTTCTGCTATTTATAATGTATTCGTGATTCATCGATAGAAGCTAATATTTAACTATCAATAACTGGATGAAATCGAATGCAATTATCTCGTTGATTATGGTGCAATCCTCAATGTAACATGCAGTGAGTTTGTATTCATAACTGAGTAGAGTGCCATCAGGTTAGATATTGACTTCAGTCTTTAACAAAAAATTCTGTACACTGACAACTCTTCATTTTCTCATAAACATATTTTTCCTCTGCTTGATAGAATTTGGTACCATCGCTCATCTAGTCATAAGATTCGTTCAAACAGAAAATAACTAATATGATTATAATAGTTACCCATTCTGGATGAAGATCAATGACACACGATAGAAGAGTCTCAAATGTAATTTTCTCGTCTTTCCGACGTGATGGGCGGGTTGCAAGTCTTTCTCTCTCACTTGTCGATATTTCTCATTGATCAACAGACGATACGAGAATGCTAACAATGAATATTGTATAGCTGCACCGGTCTTTTTTTCTTTTGGTATTCAAAATATTACTTCTATCTAAGCTTTTATCATGAAACGATCTTATTTACACTAATGAAACATTGTAAAAGACATCGAGACCAACATAATGAAACTGATTCGAATTCAAATTTAAATTCTCTGATATCATTTCAAGAGATTTCCTCGGAAGTCAAGTACCAATCAATATTTAGTCATAATTTCAAAACTTTACCTTTGTTTTGATGGTATACTTTGGATTTTACTGTTCCAAATAAATGTTCAATACTGTTACAAACACGGTTTGCTTGTTCTTGTTTTGATGAAAATTCAATACTATAGCTACACGACGACTGTTCGCTCTTCTGCGGTACTTGTTGAATTTCAATTCGGATTGGAAATGATTCTTGCTGTATATGATTGATTAAGTATGAAGCAAATTTTGGATTTTTAAAGAACTGAACATGAATATGATCATTAATCAAATACTTGTACTGATTATTGTCATTTTCGCCTGCAAATGATTGAGTTTTGCTCTGAGCAATTACCAACGATAGCTTGCTCGAATTTTCTTGCTGTGCAGCCCGAAAACAGAAAAATGAGCATTATAATTATTTTTTTATAGGTGAATAATCGTTCAAGAAACAGTTGCAGAGAAAAAAAATCTTTTTTTTATCGAAATATGTTGATATTAGCTTCTGTAAAAATAACAAAAGAGAGAACACAGACATTTGAAAGAAATCTATCCAATGACTGTTATTAATTTATGCATCATTGTTGCTCAGCAATACGTACTGTAGGCCTGAAACTGTGGATGCTTACTATGATTAATAAATTCTATAATGTATACAATAAGCAGCCTAATATGCGGATTTTCAATGAACACTGGCTCGAGGTATGTGATTCGAGTGTAAATGCTGGAATATCGACAACGATTTCATCGACAGTTTGTCTATTGAACACTAGCTACAATGCACTGATGTCACTGAGATACTGGTATTGATACTCATTGAAACACTGAAACTTAGTGAAATATTGACGTTCAGTAAACACTGACTACACTGACATCGGCCCCTAGTGAAACACTAAAACACCGAATTGGTCAAAGTGTGCAGCTTTGATGCTTCTGTTTAATGTTATCAATGACAGATAGTGAAATGATCGCATCGACTCTTTTCAAAAATATTATAACTTTGGGCAATCTAAAATTTTGAATAATAAGCTTAACTTCAGAGAAACACTTCATTGTTAGTTCTGTTCTTAATACATAAATACTATCGTTCAATTTAGAGTTATCCTACTAAATACCCATTTTTTGCATTCTTTTAACACATTATGCATAACAGTTTTCTTTTTGCTTAAGCAATCAAGGAAGAAGCAAAGTTATTTTTAAATCTAAAAATAATCAAGTTTTAAATTGATTTAACGTTTTCACTTTCGATCGCAGTATCGTTTACTCGTCTTGTACTAACTGTGATGTATAATCAGAAGATATTATTTACTGCTTCTTCACATCAGCATCACCTAAATATTAGACTGTTGCTAAGCTTATGAGCATGAACTATCACATGTTTATTTGTAGGCTTTCAGTACTAACGTCACTAGAATGCATTGAAATACTCACGGTTTTCGAAGGACGCGATGTTCTGAACAAGACATAATCATAGATAAAAAAAGGCAGAAGTCGATTAAGTAAGTTGCCTACTTTCTTTTGATTTTCTTTTTTGCTTGTCCACACAATGTTTTCCATTCCGACAGCTCTTCTCGAAATCGACGTACTTCTCCAATCGTTGACTTTTTAATCGTTCCATCTTCATTCTGTACAATCAATATTTGCGGAATATCATCCATCGCCAATTTCTTGAGAGCACTACCATCGATCTTTTCCTCTATTGCAAAATTGTAAGAAAGAATTATAATGAACGGCTTACATAAATAGTACCTACTCTTAAATGTTGCTACGTATTTCTCGAAGCCAATTGCTCTCAGCCATTCAGCAACCTGGCTTACGCTCCAATACCCCATCGATCACAAGATAATACAGAAGTAGTTTAATTAGTCTTTAATATTGAGATATTCTACAAAGGGTGCAATATATTCTCCTCTGTTCAAAGTATAAAACAGTCAGTAGCTTCGAGTATAAAAATAAAGATGTTCGACGCAGAAATCCAGTCCTCCTACTAGTGAACTATGTAGAAATCGTTCTTTTTATCTGATTATAGTGATTCCGTTCATCATTCTACTGTGGATAATACATCAAATTTGGAATCATAGATGCCAGCTTTATGTTCGATTTCCAGAAGCGGGAGCTCATCATGTGACTCCAGTCCTCAACATGCATGAGATTAGTTGAGACTTTGAAAAAATGTAAACTGCATCGATTCCATCTCTGGTTTCCAACTACTCAGAATTACCTATGACTCTCAGTGTCTCAAGATACAATATGTAGCTCCTATATCATAGGAATCCGGTATGCGACTCGGAGTTCCTGAGAGCGGTAGTCCACTTACGTTTCGGATTCCTGGATAATTGAAACCACTTGCGAGGTTTCGTATCCAGAAGTGTAGGAACACATTGGGATTTTCTTGGAAAGCAAGACAAATTACGTCGTAACGTTCCAGATCCTCGAAAATGCGTAAAATTACAGAGCCAAATATGTTTGCGTTTTTCAAAGAACGAAACTCTAAGAACGAGAACACGGGCGCCTCTACTCACTATGGAATTGAGACTTTTACTGAAAACATAATTTGCTAGGTCTATGATTCAAAAAATATGCCTTATTGAGATTATCCATATATTTTAAATCGAAAAGAATCTCTATAGCTAATCAGATGTGGACTTTTCATCAGACTGTTTTTAATTAAAGACCATGTACTACTCAAAATTCACGCATATAAAACGTATCTGCTGGTAAATTACTTCGTGTATGCTTAGTCGTTCGACTGTACAACTTGCAAACAGAGCTACCACACCTTTTGATTGCTCCAGAAGGATACTGACTTTTGACTCTTTCACTTGATGAAAGAATCTCCTGGTACCAGGAGATGCTTTCCAAGATTTTCTACTGACTTCTACTATTTTTGTTTTTTCTTCATCTTAACTGCGCGACAAATTCAACCAGCAACAAAAAAGATGTAACATCACAATATGAGTTTAGATTCCATAACGGAAAGAAGAAATATTAGTTACGATCAATTGTGGACTTATCTTCTTAACGGTGAAAATGTATCTCATTTACAGAAATTAGTTCAATTTGCTTTTTTTGTGAATCTAGATTTAGACAAATGAAATCTTTGTGAAATAATAGCCCAAAACGAAATGAAAAAGTTGTTAGAACAATCCCTGCGAGATTAAAATGTGAATCACGATATAGCTGTTATTACTAATCATGAGAATATTGTTTTATTTGATCTACCCGAAGATCTATTTCTTCATCATCTTTTACTTAATCTACTAGAACTGCAAGAAGGAAGCAGTTTATATATTCTCATGAGATGTAAGTAATATATGATCGCTAATTATGTATCAAAAACGTCTGTCACGGCCTGTGAACGAAGGAGGATGACCTCAAATTTCTACCTCTATACACTTCAAGACTTCTTTTAGATTGAGTTTCACAAAATGATATTATTTATACTAAATTAAAGAAATAAGATGAATACTTAGTTCAATTGTATAAAACCTTACGAATATCCGTTTTTTAAGCCAGATTTGTTAAAACAAATCAGTTCATCAGAAAAATGCTTTCATGTTGCAAAAGTGCTTCACGGTACAATAAATAATATTTTGTCCTGATATTCTGGTCTCGGTTCATATTAATTTATAAGTAAATTTTTCTTTTCTTTTATTTGTATATTTTCGTGAAAGAATATGAAAAGACTAATAA